TGTACAAACTGTTAACATTTATCTTCTACAAGAGGGGTATCAAAGTTTGTAAGCCAGCAACAGACTTGAACAATTTTTGAAGCTAGTGGGGCAAGAGAAAGGGGTAGCACTCCTTCCAATATATGAAAATTCTTGACACGGCCAATACTTCTTTCAACATGTATTCTAAGCTGTGCTATTTCCTGAGTCTGAAAAACCTCTGTTGTAGAAAACTGGTTAGAGTTTCCTCGAAATGGTGGAATATTTAGATAACACTGGCGTTTTTCTAACAGGTCCCCTATAGTAAATCCTTTGTCTGCCATAACACTGTCGAAGGGCTCCAAAAGATCCAGAATACCAGAGTCCTCTGTTAATTTACGGTCTGAAACTCTGCCTCCCCAGGCTTCTGATATAAATGTTATGACACCAGAAGGACTAATACCTACAAGAAACTTCAGGGTGTTGTGGTGTTTGTAATTTGAGAATGTGAGACTTTGATTAACTAAGCTACAAGATCTCTGAATGTAAATTTCTGTACAATCTAGAATAACTCTAGTTGAAGGATATTTTTCTTTGAAACATGATGGCATTGTACGTTTTATAATATCTCGACTTGGAAAGGGGTTGAGAAATTTCAGTTCAGCATGGAGCAAACTTATCCATGTAGTAAAGTAGGAAGAAAATGTTGCTGAAGATATGTTAAATCTGTCAGCCAGATCCTGAACAGAAAGACCTAGTCTCAGCCTCATCAGCACAGCTAACAGTTGATCAATAGTAGTTATCATAGGGACTGATACCCTCATCCTGTCCTTGGTTGGAGTGTTGACATCTCCCCTCCAATATGTCAAACGGGAGCTTTTGGATGATAAGTAACTGAAACGAGTTAAAATCAAATTATACATTTTCCCCACCTACACACATTAAACTTGTGTCGGGTCTTTCTCTACCTTGATGGTAGGACAGCTAGAGATATTAACAAATTGAAAGGACCCTCATATCTACAGTAAATCTCAATAGATTAATATATAAAGTTGCCAGGTATGATAAAGGATACCATCAGTTTATCTTAGTGCTTCATTATATCATTTTATGCTGACATCACCTATAAACACTATGAAGAGATATCAAGGAAATGAATTGGTGATATCAGAAACTGACATGAGTTACATAACACTGTAATAAAGTGATGTCACATAATTCTTATAGCGATATCAGCATTAATGTCAAATAAATTGGTCTATGACTGTCATAACCAGATGATTTGAATAAGTGGAATACAATGCCTAAGTGATATTACCAATTTCATTATTTTGGTATCACTTAAATAGAATTCAGTATATGGTGTCCGATACTTTGAATGTGCTGTACTTTTTGTCAATTTTACAGTTTCATTTAAAAACAATTTCAACCAAAGGGTTATTGTCAATAATTATTTATATTATATATACATGTATATATATTTATAGATATTTCTTGCTCCTGAAAGACAAAAATAAGGACTCATCATTCATCTTTCATCAAGCCTAATATTGACTTACATGTACAGCCACAAGAAAACGGCAAATGTTGGGAGACCAGTGTAAAATCGGGTCCGTGTGTCATTGTCCTTTTTTTTGCCTACTCCCCATTTGAGCTGGCGTACCTCCTCTTTTAGTAATCTTACTTCCTCCTGGAGTCGCCTATTCTCCAAGAGAAGAGGGTCTTCATCACATTGGACACCTATGGGGATCAGGGAGAATTTCAAATTTGTTTTCTTTTTTTCCCCCATCAAGGCACTGAAAAACAGATTGTGATACTGTATGTTGTGTTTTATTTCTAAACAATTTCTTCATGTTGGTTAGTATAGATAGAATAAAGGAATCGAACCTTTGAATGTATATAGTAATATAAAGACCCAGAATGGAGTCTGTTTGGGAAAGTAGGTTCATAAATCATTGAATAAATAATCAAAACTGGGGAGGGGTTAATTACAGGAAATACATGTATTACTTTACCAGTGTCAACAAGAACATTAACATCTGCGTCATCCTCTTCTTGAACCTTAGCCTCAGCTTCAGGTTCTGGGACAGGCTTACAGTACCCTCTGTGCATGGCTAAAGACACTTTCTTTTTTACCTCCTCAAACTGTTTTGTTTTCAAATATTGGCTTTCCTGTACATAAAAAGAACACACAAAAATATTATGGAAAATAAATATTTCAAACTCATTGCAAAGCTATGGAAATATAAAAACAAATTGCAGACATATGTAATTAACTACCATGATTCTCTTGACAGCTAACGGTAGTTTTCACAACTCGACATAAAATTTGACAATCAAAAGTTTTCTTTGAATGCAAAAAAACCCACCAACCCCCCCTCCCCCGATATTTTGGTCATAATTTATAATGTGATCAGTAATATAACAATTTTGTTGATGCAATATAGGGGAATAAAATGAAATGTTAATAATCATGTGGAGTTTAGTCTGGTGCGTTGTTTATATACAACAGTAACAAATAGTTATAGGTATGCATGAGGAAAGAAAGGGGTAGGTGTGGAGTTGATATTATACCTTGGATTCATCTCTAGCCAGCTTTCTTGTCTCTCTTGATATGTTGATGTCTGATTGTTTAACCACCTTTCAAAATGAAGTTTTTTGTAATTTATTTGAAAGTTTTCATTTGAAAATCTAACAACCATTGATAAAGGCAGAATTTTAGTTCTCAATTCTTTTCAATAAGTGATGTTTAATTTAAACTTGCAAAATTTGTTTTCATGTAAACTACAGTTCAGTAAATTTACTTAAGTTAACGTTATGTTATATGTATAACCTGAACATGTACGTATATTTGTAGTTGCATAGTATTATTTATGTAGAGATTATGTTCGTGTATCCTGAACTTATGTAAGATATGCTTTAACACGGTTTGATAATTTGAAAAGATCAACTGTCATGGTGAATTTGTACAGCAACCAGCAGGGATACAAAGCAATCTTATAACTGTTATAATACAACTGCTTTATAATGCATCTACAATTATAAGAATAAATATCTCATCTATGTATATTGTGTATGCATATGTGCTGCGATACCAATGTTCTGATCATAGGGGTTCGTTACAAATGTCTGACATACACATATGCTATACTGACATGGGTCACAGCACACATAAACATATATGTGTGCTGTGACCCATTTCAGTATAATATAGCATATGTGTGTAACGAACCCCTGTAGTCTGATGGTTGCTGTTGCTTAAATATTTTACTGACATGTTTTGTGTGTTTTTGTCATATAAAATATAAGTGATTGTAATAAAGAGATATGGCGGGTTGCTATGCCTATTTCCCCAAAGCTATGTTACGCTAGTGCGCGCATCCAACCGTGCACTGTTATGACGCGTCCTCAGGTATTTTTATACAGGTAGCAATATCGGAATCCCGTGTCTAAGAATAAATTATTGTAAACAGACCACATATTTGGTATTTCGGCATTATTTGTTGGTGTTTAAGCACTTGATATAATTACTATTGCCAGTTGGAGGGTAAAACAATTCATAAATTTCATCAAAAATAGTCTTACCTACAAAGCGTAGCTGTACTGTACACGTGTACAGGGATTTNCATTTGAAAATCTAACAACCATTGATAAAGGCAGAATTTTAGTTCTCAATTCTTTTCAATAAGTGATGTTTAATTTAAACTTGCAAAATTTGTTTTCATGTAAACTACAGTTCAGTAAATTTACTTAAGTTAACGTTATGTTATATGTATAACCTGAACATGTACGTATATTTGTAGTTGCATAGTATTATTTATGTAGAGATTATGTTCGTGTATCCTGAACTTATGTAAGATATGCTTTAACACGGTTTGATAATTTGAAAAGATCAACTGTCATGGTGAATTTGTACAGCAACCAGCAGGGATACAAAGCAATCTTATAACTGTTATAATACAACTGCTTTATAATGCATCTACAATTATAAGAATAAATATCTCATCTATGTATATTGTGTATGCATATGTGCTGCGATACCAATGTTCTGATCATAGGGGTTCGTTACAAATGTCTGACATACACATATGCTATACTGACATGGGTCACAGAACACATAAACATATATGTTTGCTGTGACCCATTTCAGTATAATATAGCATATGTGTGTAACGAACCCCTGTAGTCTGATGGTTGCTGTTGCTTAAATATTTTACTGACATGTTTTGTGTGTTTTTGTCATATAAAATATAAGTGATTGTAATAACGAGATATGGCGGGTTGCTATGCCTATTTCCCCAAAGCTATGTTACGCTAGTGCGCGCATCCAACGGTGCACTGTTATGTCGCGTCCTCAGGTATTTTTATACAGGTAGCAATATCGGAATCCCGTGTCTAAGTATAAATTATTGTAAACAGACCACATATTTGGTATTTCGGCATTATTTGTTGGTGTTTAAGCACTTGATATAATTACTATTGCCAGTTGGAGGGTAAAACAATTCATAAATTTCATCAAAAATAGGCTTACCTACAAAGCGTAGCTGTACTGTACACGTGTACAGGGATTTGTTAACATGCTTCGATAGAAGTATGTCTCACTAACTAGTAAAGACAGAATTACTAACAAAACTGATAAATCAATAGGTATGTTATTAAAATGAAAACAAAATTTTCCGTCGATTTAAAAAAAAACACTATTGCCTTATTAAGGAAAATGATCACATGCCTAAATATTTAAAAAAAAAAAAAATAACTGAAGGAGGATTCGAACTTGCACCGTTTATTTTCTAGTCGCAAGTAAACTGCGTTACACATTCGGCTACACAGAACATATAGATATTGGCAATTACAAACTTATTTAACCCGAGAAACACCGGTCGCAGTTTAGAGAAACTTGATCACCCCTGTTTTTCATTATTTTGAGCACTTTCCCAAAGAAGGACCACTTTTCCGTAATACGATTTGTTTTTGCAAATTACATCACGGTCACAAAAAATTTATTCAAAAGTTGGTCCTCGGATGGGAAAGTGTTGAAAGTATTTTTTAAGTCCGGGAAACACCATCACTTTCATAGATATAGTGTATATGGCTATATTTGCAGTATCATATTAGCAATACCTAATTTCTCAGCAGTTTAAAAATTCATATTCAATTGGTTTTGTATCTTTTGTATGCATTTTTGCTACCCGAAATGTTTTCCTCCTTAATTTTTTCCCCCGTTTTCATAAATGCCGACTTAGGGAAATACGGGCAGTTTTCCGCCATACCTCTTTACCACCTTTTAAATAACCTTATTTGTTTATTTTTTACCTTGTATTTGGAAATTGTCGGAGCGTAATTCTCGTCAGCAGGGTCATATCCGTGCCAGCCGTCGATAGAATGCTCAGAACATATCCACGAACTTTCGTTAGGAACCCAACCATCCCTGTTAAGTGCTTTTATCCATGTCTTCCACTTCCGCTTATCTTTTGGGAACCGAAAAAAACTTACTTTCTTTGACCGGTCAAACTGGTTTGCGCACTTGTATATACTGCAGGTTTTCACCATGATGGTTGTTTACGTATATCCAGGAACCCAATCATTGGCATTTGTGCGCATGCGCAACGTACTGTCACGCAGTTAACGTGAAAGGGACTATTCCGTGACAGGACTTACATAATTCGACCTTGACGTAAACAAAACCCACAATATAGACAATAAAATTAACGAAAAATCATACACACATAGAGATAAAACTACAAATATTTTATAAAATGAAACTCGCCGGCACTAATTATATATCTTCAATCCGTACTACCCTGGTGTCATTACGAAACCATCAGCCCATCAGTGATGGAAGTGTTTGTACATTAAGTGTAATTTGATTCATATATTCATATGAACAGAATGATATAAGTATGGAAATTAAATAATTAAAATATACAAATAACCAATTACTCAATTACTTTCTACTTAAAATTTTACTGGCCAATTAAGGTACGTGTATAGACATGCACCCATCAATCAGCACATGACGCAGCCCAAATATTTGAATATAAATATAAGTCATTGCTAAACTTCCGACCGAATATTTCACGTATTTATCTATTTTATTTGTTGGTTTATTTTGTTTTTAATTTGCAAACTTTATTATCCATATAACCATTTTTTTTATATAAAAACAATCAGCACTCACATATTCTTAAAATAACCTGCACATCGATCGTTTTCTTACATAACCAGCAAAACGCATGTTAAACGCACATTCAACGCTAAAGTTAAAACGCACAACAAACGGTCAACGCAAACGCAACGGAAACGCAACGCAAACGGAACGCAAACGCAACGCAAACGCAACGGAAACTCAACGCAAACGCAACGGAAACGGAACGCAAACGCGACGGAAACGTAACGCACTTTTGGTAAAGAAAAACGGTCGAGGGTCTGTACGAACTTCAGCCGTGGTATTTGTATTCCGAACTTCAGCCGTGGTATTGACGTAACGTGTTATACTGTACAACGTTACCAATACACAGATCCCCATCAACAGTGACCTGCAACACATTACATGTGATGATGAGTTTAAACATTATCGTAACAAAAGTTCGATATGTATATAAGTTATTTTCATAGTGTGAACGAAGCCTTAATTCAAACGCATAATGGCCTAAGAGTAAAACTGTAAACAAAAGAAATATTTAAACGAGCTTGTGCGAAGGTTCATTGTTCATCAAATAGAGCGAAAGTTAACATACCTGTTTACTGTGTATTGTTTTCTTATAATGTTTAAGACTCGTACACGTGTTCATATTCTGTTTGAGCATAGCATTGCCGCAGCACTTGCGAAGCGTTTCCGTATCACTTGCGCAACATTTTTATAGTACCTGCGTAGCGTTTCTATAGTACCTGCGTAGCGTTTCTATAGTACCTGCGTAGCGTTTCTATAGTACCTGCGTAGCGTTTCTATAGTACCTGCGTAGCGTTTCTATAGTACCTGCGTAGCGTTTCTATAGTACCTGCGTAGCGTTTCTATAGTACCTGCGTAGCGTTTCTATAGTACCTGCGTAGCGTTTCTATAGTACCTGCGTAGCGTTTCTATAGTACCTGCGTAGCTTTTCTATAGTACCTGCGTAGCTTTTCCATAGCGCTTGCGTCTTAGACGGAACAGCAAACGTGGATGGGTCTGTAAGTGTGGGTATTTGATTCATCAGGTGGTACAATTCTGGATGCATGGAAAGACCGGCAAACCAACTCATATGATACATTTGGAATTGTAAACTCGCACTTAACATTGTTTAATCTACCTTGTGCTATTTTTAAAATAAACCATGTTTTGATTATTTGGCAATGCATATAAAAGTATATACATGAGAGGTGGATGAGTACTGGTAGAGAAAGTGATGTGAATGACAAAGGAATTCATAATGTAGAACAATTGGCATTGAGATGAATAAAGATATTGTAAATAATATTGACATGTATAACTGTTATTATT